TTTTCATTTTTTCTTTGTCCCTTCTCACAAAATTCTTCAAAGCTTTAATAAGCCTCTTTTGCAAATCCAATATAGGAAAATTATCCAGGTCACCCTCTTTGTTTGTTATTTGTAAATCCCTTTTAATTATTAAGATATCAACCGTTTTCTTTTGTATGTTCAGTGTAACATCTTTTTCCATGTCATTCTTGTAGCCTGTCATTTTTAAATCCACTTTCAAATCAGTCTCAATCACGTCAGGTAAAACGTGTTCCTCTTCCATAACATCTTTTAAACACAGTCTATTTACAGAGGCACACACTTTTTAAAGATAAGTTCTGGGTCCATTGTTCAAAAGTATCCTTCAGTATGTCCAATCTTATAATATTTTACTTCATACTCTGTTTGTAAGTCAAGTTTGAGTGTTGTACTTTAATTGTAATCTACTTTGCTCTAGTGTCCAATTTTTAAAGTTTTATTAATTTTTTTAATAATTCAAAATAAAGACATTTTCCTATGGGAAGGATTCTTTATAGTTAATTCCAAAATCTTATTTCAAATTTATCTGGACCCTTAGTCTGTTTGTAACTTTCCAAAATCAAAGTTCTAATCACCCTTTTGCTGTTTATTCAAAAAAAATTTTTTAAGTCCTTAAATTTGTATTTAAAACTACTTTTGCCAAGGATTGAAGAAAACTCACCCAGTGCTGTAAAATTTGTTGATCCAAGGGTTCCTAATAGCTGAAAAGCAGTTAACAAGCAATTTCCAAAAGGGACTGGAAAAGGAAGTATGCGAAGTCAGTGTCCTTTCGAAGGCACTGACAACGGTTTGAGCAAGATGGCCATTCCCTCACCTCCCAGAGCTCTAAACCCACTGGAGACTGCTGTCTTGTGGCCTTCTCCCAAGGAGCAACTGTCTGGAGCACTTGTGGGCGATTTCCCATCCTCTTTCCATCCAGAGAGATTCAAAGAGCTGGTCTATTCACCAGCTCTTCATTCTGCTGTGGTTGTCAGCTCCGCTTTTAGTGGAGCTGTCTTCAGTCCGCCATTTCTTCCCCAGAAGTCCTTGGAGTTCTGTAGATACATTGTGCCAAGATTTTCAGAATCCCAGCTAGCACTGATGTGTATTCTTAAAACATTTTAACTACTTTTTGTTCTTTGTTTGTATTACTTTATATTTTTAAAATCTAGCTGATTTTTATATAATGCACTGTTTCCTAAAAGTGAAATGAGGATGTATTTTAATAGACAAAAATCAGCTTTTCATCAAATAATTATTCTCAAGAAAATATTTTCCTCTACATTTGTCTAGGTTTTGTCATTGTTCTATTTGTATTCATTGGCTTTCTTTTTTAGGACTGGGAGTAAGTTAGGCATTTCTCCTCTGATGCTGGCAGCTATGAATGGTCATGTTCCTGCAGTGAAACTATTGCTTGATATGGGTTCTGATATTAATGCCCAGATTGAAACCAATCGGAATACCGCACTTACTTTAGCCTGCTTCCAGGGCAGAGCAGAGGTAGTTAGTCTGCTTTTGGACAGAAAAGCCAATGTTGAACATAGGGCAAAGGTAAGTAATCAGTAGATTTCTTTCTCAGTTGAGCTTTGGTGAACATGGTCTTTTAAGGAAAGTTAAAATTTCCAACTAGGGATGATTTGAACTATTGCTAGTGCCAGGGAGATTGGAATCCAAGATGCTCCTTTGGGATCGTCAAAGGAAAGTTGCCAGCCTCCTTGCCAATGCACGACAAATATATTTTTCATAGACATCCTTTGCCCTCTAGCAATATGTAGGCACACTTATGGAAGGAAATTAGCTAGAAGAATTCCTTTATGTATTAACTTCAATCACTTTTGGCAGCTAGCATTTGGAAATGCAAGAGAACATAACCATAGCAGTTAGAGCTCCACATTAGCTGAGAAGCACATGGTTTTCATAGTTAATTAACCCACTGATTCAAGTTCCTGTGAGACTTCCTTCTAGGAGATAACTTCTGGTTTAAGGTCCAGCATCAAATATAAGACTCATAATTACATCATCAGCTAATACCACTTTTGGTTGGAAAGGTCTGTCAAGGTTCTTGCATTCCCCAGAGTACACCTAACAATACTGTCCTGGTATATACTGAAGTCTAGGAATGGAGGGCCCTTACTTAGTTTGTGTTATAGAGGTTTGGTTTAGAAGGGTGAATTTTGTGTAAAAATTACTGGGTAAGTCATGCAGATGTACCAGTGCGAAAATAATGTGGGTAACAGCTAGAAAGATAGTATATTATGAAGAAAAGTAATTTATAGGCAAAGAAAAGCCTCAAACTATAACCAAAATGTGTGTTGAGCAAATTAATGATTTAAAAAGTCTAAAGTCTAAACCGTCCAGGTGCACACAGTTAGGTTGTAAAACAGCATTGAATTTTGATGGTAAAATCCATTTGTGCAAAATTATGCTGCACAAATATCGGAAATTATACAACGTTCAGATTCACATTTTGGTCCTTTCTGTTTCTGTGCTCTGTTCTGAAGTCAAAACCATATTTATAGAATTTCTCAATCCTGAATTTTGGAAAGCAGTTAAATGCCATAAGGAGTCCAATTCTGTGTTGGATCATAACATTATATTACTAGAAGGTTGAATATGGAATCTGTGGGTGGAACGTGAAGTAGTTAAGCTGGACATCAAAACAGATCTTCAAATTTGAGTTCATGTGATCTGGATGTCTCAGCAGTGAAAATTCCTCAAGGTTTTTTCCTCATTAAAATATTTGTGTGTGATACTTTAGCTACCCTCTTTTATAACAGTGTTGATTAGATTGTAATGGCTTTGGACTTAAGATTGAAAGGGGTTAGTAGTAATTTATTCATATAGATTTGATTTCAAACAAGTTATTTTAAACAGACTGGACTCACTCCTCTCATGGAAGCTGCATCAGGAGGTTATGCAGAAGTTGGAAGAGTTCTCCTTGATAAAGGAGCAGATGTCAATGCTCCTCCTGTGCCTTCTTCAAGAGACACTGCTTTAACTATTGCTGCAGATAAAGGCCACTACAAGTTTTGTGAGCTCCTGATTAATCGGTATGATGGTTTCTGTATTGTTAGAGTTGCACAATTTGAGCTGCATGCAATTTCCCCAACCAGTCTGATCTGGCCCAGCTCTTCCCTACCTTCTACTGCTTAATTTCAGTGGCAAATTTGCATTTCTTTGTGTGTGCCTGCCCCCTCCCATGATGTTTTTATATCATTCCCCTCACATCTTTGTCCCTACTGCTATTACCTTTCTAGTTTTTGCCCTTTATGATGCTTCCCTTTGTTTCAGAGCACCCTTGCACCTTGGCCAAAGCAAAACTTTTTTCAGCAAATATGTCCTGTACCACTATCGGCTGAAAGACCATTTGTGTAGGGCAGAATGAGCCCTGTGTAATGATTTAATAAGACTGACTAAGGAGATTTGCCTCTGCTGACCTGTATTTTGGGTTTGTCTCTGTGTTGTTGTAACTCTTCCCCCTTCCCACTTTAGGCACTGCTTCCCAGGTTTTTGTTTTCAATTTATTTTGTAATGTGGTTGTTTTTTCCAAAGGTATATTGCATCGCAGGCACCTTATTCCTTATTCATTCATTCCTCCTTCATTGACCTGTCTTATTTCCTCTTTGTAGAGTTTATTCATTTTAAGGAGTTGCCCCTTGCTCAATTTATTTTAAAACTGAGACATGGCTTAAGAGAGAAATATCAGTTTATGCACTTCAAACTCATGATCTCAAGATAGGAAGTTGGGGACTACTAAGTGGAGAGAATAGACTAGATACACCCAATCCCAGTTTCAGATTCCTGATTTTCCACTGTGGATACCCAGAGATTTACAAGTAGTTTGGGGAGGCAGAGAAGCCTCTTTGCTAAATAAGTTTTATAACTAAATGGGGATACTAAGAATTTTATTACAAGGGGATTGTGGGAGAGGGGGACTATTTCTCATTAAGTCATACTATTTGTTTATTAGTTTTACTTCAGTGGCCAGATCTAAATAATTTAAGTTATCATAATTTACATTTCATTTACATTTTAATACTCCATGCATTTTTTGAAGTGTAGTTCAGAGGCTAATCTGAACCTTGGTTTGACTGAGATTGCATAGCTGGTCTACCAACTAATATATCTAAGGAGCCTGGTCTTCTCAGTAACAAGAGGTTATGAAAACTGATGGCATCCAGGCAAAAGATGGAGGTACTGGCACTTAGTACTTTCCTGGTCTGCAAAAAGAAAAAACACCTTTGGAATTTTCTTCAGTTTTGGAGGCGAACAAGAAGCATACTCAGCAGACATAGTATGTTGATTGGGTGATTGAGACTGAAAACATGGTGTTGGTGCTGATGATGCAAAGGAATAGCTGGAAATGTAAACAAGAAAATTCTCATTGTAGCATTTGTTGGAAATCCCACTTGTGGAATTTTCATTTCTAATTGTCTCTTGTGGCATGTATATGTTGATAATTAAAGGCAATATGAAATTCTTAACCAGTTGTCATCAATTTTTTGCAAAGTGAAATTTAATTTCAACTGCTGTCTGAATTATTTGTTAGTTCCAATTGAAATCTGATTCCTTTTAGGGGAGCGCATATTGATGTTCGCAACAAGAAAGGAAACACACCACTCTGGTTGGCAGCAAATGGCGGTCACCTTGATGTAGTGCAGCTACTAGTGCAGGCAGGAGCTGATGTGGATGCTGCAGATAATCGGAAAATCACGCCCCTTATGTCTGCATTTCGCAAGGTAATTTTATTTGGTCGTTTTGAGATTGAAACATTAGGAATTGAGGCTGGCTGCAAATAATTGAATTACTACATTTTAATTACTATAACATACCTGTCTTTAGGTCATTGTATACATTTTGTTTCATAGTTTTGGTTGTTAGATGTATTGGAAAGTTTCTCTATGTATTCAGAGACTGACCTAATGCTGTTAGGCTCAGTCTTGCCAGGTAAAACAGATTGTGATGCTAAAACCTGATTCAAATTTCTATCACAAAAAGGTGTGCAGAACATTTCATTTTGATATGTTTGAAGCTTGAACTGAAACACCCAAATTCATGTGCAAAATTAGTAGCTCAAGTGTGAAATGGGCTGGCTCAACATTTCCAGTATATTTCAAACTCAAAACAGTCTGTTTCACCCTCAAAAATGGAATGTTTCACAACACTTCTCATTTGAAATGTTTTGCACATTGTTTTTATTTTGTATTTTATTTCATTTGTTTGGATATTTTGAATTTGAATTGTATTATTTCTTTTTCTTTTTTTATGTGTTTATTGTACATCAGTCCAGGAGTTTTATTTAAACAAATAAATAGTGATAGGCAAGCTGTCTTTCAGACAGTCTTATGCATCAGTGTGACCTTGTTATTGAGAAAATCATGATACATTTCTGGGTCTTTCACTGAAAATATCTGTCATGGCACATTATAGTATTACATCCTGATAATCCACTTCTCCAGTGTATATAATGTATGCAAATATTCTAATTTTGCATGATTCTGCAGTCCCTTACCTGTTCAAGTTTCTACACATGTGTAGAATAAGGGACTTTGGATTTCTGCAAAGTAGATATTTTATTCTTAGAAACAAACAAACAAAATCAGGGATCAAAATATTTTTCCTTTGCTGCTGGCAAATTCTGACAAGCCTTCCCTGCTGCTGTTTCCCCAGGGAGTAGGCAACAGTACTGCTTTAGTAATAAAGCACCAGAGAAAGTGGAATTTTGTTTTTGCAGATGCATTCCAGAAGCATATTACTCCCTGATATCATTTCAACATTGTTGGGAGTCTGGAATTAATGTTTTGTCCAAAGAATTCCAAAGAGAGGGAAAATTAACATACAGAAATACAATTATTCTGAACTCATTTTCTTTCACATCTCTATTGTCTCTCATTTGTTTTTACTGCTTTACAGTATTTACTGTTTAGTCATGAAGAAAAACAATTTAAAATGGATACTAGAGTTAAAGACTGCCTGGATTATGAGGTTTCCTGAGCATTTAATTACAGTACTCAAAATAAAAGAGGTAGACTAAATTGGCATAATCTGGTATGTGTTATAAGACTATCACAGAATAACTCCTTCCAACTTCATGTAATTAAAACATTCTTTTTTTAGGGTCATGTGAGAGTAGTACAATTTTTGGTGAAAGAAGTTAACCAGTTTCCTTCAGATATTGAATGCATGAGGTACATAGCAACTATAGCAGACAAGGTGAGTGCCAAGAAGCTATTAATTATACTCAGATAACTTGAGACTTCACCTGTAAAGTATAAAAGTCAATTTACAAAAAAGGTTTTTCGTAGTAATACTTCTCAAAGCTTATCTTTGCTGCTATCATTTAGCATCTCTTTCAGGTATACTTGCCTCCTATGAGTTAATGGACACATCCATGTCATTTTCTTCACAACAATAAAGAAGTCATTATTTTCTTTTGAGATATTAGTTTGGCCTATAGCTCTAGAATTGTCTGGTTGTCTCCCATACTAGTGTTGATCAGACCATACCCCATTTGGTTTCTGTGGTTGGACAACAAGCTATTTCCTGCACAAAATAATATGGTAGTGTAAATGAATTTAACAACTGAGTAAAATTAATTACCTATAAAATAAGTATCCATTTACAAAATTTATTGATTTTCTGTCTGCATATACCAATCATTCCTTCTCACACACGAACTGCTTTCACACACACAAAAATAGATGTACACACTTAGATTTTCCTTCCTTCCAGTAGAAACAACACAAAAGAAGCGGGGGGAAAGATAGAGATCTGTGGTAAGGGAAGGGATAGAGAAAGTAGAGATAAAACTGGATGATGGGGCAAGGGAAAGAAGTACCTAAACAAAGAAGGAAGAAAAGCAAGAGAAACCTTATTTTAAAAGTTTAAGCCTTCAAATTAAAATCAGCTCCTGATGACTGAATGGATACATCCATGCAGTTATCTTTATAACAATGTAGACATGATTTGCCATCTCCTTTTTCCACAATATTTTCAGCATCTGATCTTGCTTATAGCCTTGCAGTCTCCTAGCCAAACACTCATCAGGCCAGATTGGTTTACTTTCAAGCCCAAAGTCAGTAAAGTGTTACCACTTTACTAGTTGTGTTTGTCAGCTGTCATTTATGAACTTTCTAGAAGAACTTAATTAATTGTACATCCTCATCTGTAGCTTGTACTGAATATTACAGTATCTTTTTATACTGTAAGAACTAATCCTGCTACCCTTTAGAAAGAATAGAGCATTAAAGATGTACAGTAAATGTACAGTATCCTTTCAATTATTAAAGATAATTATTCATCTCTTTTTACCTGAATCCCTTTTTGGGGGGGGCGGGATCAAACCATAACCTAACTAGACAGTTAAATTCATGGATTTTCATGTCTGTGATGATTAGTGGTTATAGATACCTCCTTCCAATCCTTCAAAATGCTGTCAGATTTCAGTGGCAAATCCCTGTTTTTGGCATAATGATTTATTTTAAAATAATGGCTAACATGGATATATCAAGCTTCACACATTTACTTGTTTTTAGTTTTCTTGGCTCTCTGAGAAAAGCCAAAATTTTGACCCTTATCCCTTTCAGGGATGTTTCTGTGTCATCTCCATGCAATCTGCAACCTTGGATTCATAGACAGGAAAAAGAGATTTAGAATTTGAACATAGGACATATGTATATGGTTTGAGGTTTATAGTTAGCAGTTTCTAGTTTTCTGGTCTAATTATGGCTTTTCTAGTATCTGCAGAAAAACAGCTTAACTGAAAATTGTGTCCTTGAATTTCTGTCTGCTAGTCTTCAGGTTTGAGTATCATGTCTAGGTGAAGAATCAGACAATAATTTTGTGTGCAGTAGAAGTGAGATATTATTGAATACATAGGGAGTAATGTTAACTGATTTCAATTAATTTAATTACTTCATTTGGTTTTAATGAAATTTAGTTTTTGTCCTAACTCGTCCTGGTGTTTTGTTTTGTTTTTTGAAATGTGGGCCCAGCACACCACTCAAAAGAAAAGTACAACCCTCAGGCCAAAAAGATTATATATTCCCAACATAGATGAAGTTGTACTGTAAGTTGCTGTGAATGTATCTTAAGTGCTCTATCTTCCATTTCCACAAAACATTTTTTTTTAATTGAAAAGGAATTGTTGAAAAAGTGTCACCAGTGTGTTGAAACCATTGTGAAGGCTAAGGACCAGCAAGCTGCTGAAGCAAACAAGAATGCAAGCATCCTGTTGAAAGAGCTAGATTTGGAAAAGGTGAGATACACAGTTATGTAATCTTCCTTAAATATCACTCTGTTTATAGTGAAAAGCCATACTACTTTGATACCATAGGTGCAATAGAAAAACTGAGACTGAATCGCGTACTCTTTTTCTTTAGTGCTTTATTCAGCAACAGTTATATACTGTACTAATAACTACAATGTGATATAATCAGTAAAGGAGAAAAAAGAAGGAAAATGTTTAAATATATCACAACAAAAGTAATTTGACCAGACTACTGAAAAATCAGTACCTACCAGATTTCAGTGGATCATGTTTCAACTTTCCAGTTGAGCCCAAAGTGAAGCTGAATTCTGAAATTTCTTACTTCAGCCAATAACTGAAGCTAAAATAAATGTTCAGAAATAGGCCTGAAAGTGGAGAAAATTAAATCCATATTTCCCAACAGAAAATTATGGAAGGTCTCTTAAAAATGCCCCTATCAAAGGAAATTGTTTAGATGGTTAACATTTTATTTATATACTTGATAAAGTTGTATGCCACCTCAATCACAAAATGACTCTAGACATCTTATACAATAGAATTTAAAAAAAAGTCAAAAGGACAAAAGGACAAAATCAGCAGTAGAATATATGGCATTTATTGGGGAAGTATAATTAAATATATTCCCAACCTGGACATAGAGAAATGTAAGAACTCAAATAGCATATATTAACTCTGCAGTAAATTCATCTTGACTGCATGTAGACCATCTTCATAAAAATGAATATGGTCTACAGATCCTCTCAGGATTCGTAGACCATCTTCATTTTTACCAAAATTGGAGATAAATTCCAATTTACCAGTTGAGAAAACTTTTCTAGAAGTCATTATTTCACAATAAACAAAAAAACCAGAACAACCTAAGCCCTAAAATTCTAGAATTATTACTGAGACATAATGGCATCATATCTGATTAACTCAAATTTATGAAGTAACAAAATACTTGGATAGATGTTTCTGACTTACCTAATAAACATTAAATGTCATATGGGTACAGCAGTATGTGATATTCTGCCTTACCTACTACAGTGCCTTTAACGTATTTAGAATTTCTAATTACACACCAGGAGAAAGAAAGCAACCTTGATTTATATTATAATGTAATATAATAGCCATAATTTCTTAAGAAAGTAAATCTATAATTGAAAAGCATAACTAAAATCCTCATCTGGCTTGGGAAGGATGATTAAACAAGTTTCATTAGTCTGTAAATCTGAACCAAATCATAAATATATGTAGTAATCAGACATTCCTTTCCACTTAGCTGAGTGCTATAGTTTTAAAAAATCAAAAGGATGTAGATCTGGCCTCAATTTGGCAGGGGGGGAGCTTGTACACACAAAGGTGGATCACTTCTCCTATTCTTCCTGGACAAGCCTGAACCAAATTCTGACTGGGATTATGTACCCAAATATCAGAACTTACTTCTGCTCTATCTGGACAAACTAGCACTACTTGTCCAAGCAAAACCTGTCTGATGGCTTACACACACCAACTTGGATTTCTGATTGTACTTGCTTCCATTCTGCCTTGACATGCTGGCAGCCATGTTAGCCATTATAGGTTCCAGTTTGTGTATGGAGGCCTCATGCCAAGTGGAGCTGGATCACTATCAGAATTTGCTCCTGCACAACCTGAACAAGCCAGCAGCAAAATCAGAATGTTGCTGCTTTAAAGAGAAAATATCATTCTAAAACAGCATTTCTCAACATCAGCATCTGTAAGATGTGTGGACTTTAACTCCCAGAATTCCCCAGCCAGCATGGGGAAATGCAAATCTGTGCTTCCAATTAAAAATTGGATGGATTATTTCCAATGAAAAGTTTCATGTTATGAAATTGCAAGATTCTGTCATTGTTTTATTTTAGATAAATTAACATTTAATTATTAAAAGTAAATGGTGTATGTACATATTGATTGATTGATTGCCCAGCCCTAACCCCAATGAAATTGTTTTATTCATGGTGGGGACGTCACCCAAGGTATAAGAATTCCTGACTTAAGATATTGGACTAGGGTCAGGAAGGCTCAGATACAAATCCACCCTTAGCCTTGCATATTTACCAGATGTCTTTAGGTCAGTAACTATCTCTAAGCCCAAAAGACCACACAGGTTTATTTTTATAGAGAAAAACTGAAAGTGGAAATTTCTGGGGAAAGAGGGGAATATAACTTAAATGCATAATCAAAGCCAACCTGTAACAATTACTTGGGAGGCTAGCTTACATGCAATATGATGGTTTGTTGAGCAAAGGGAAGTAAATGGGAATAATCCCACACTCTCAGTCTCTTTCTCTGTGCTTGCATTATATTGAAAGTGTTAAGAAAAAACTCTTAGTATCAATATATACTATACATTGCCAATGTTTTTATAGTCGAGAGAAGAGAGTAGAAAGCAGGCTCTTGCAGCAAAAAGAGAGAAGAGGAAGGAGAAGAGGAAGAAGAAGAAAGAAGAACAGAAACGAAAACAAGAGGAAGATGAGGAACACAAACCAAAGGAAACGCTAGAACTTCAAGAAGATGAAGAGGAAAATGATGATGATGATGATGGTGAGGGACTCAATTCATACTCTGTTTAAATCATAAATGGCATTCTGATATTGATGGACTGCAATTCCAAACATTTTCCATCCATCAACTGAGAGCCAAACATTGAGTTTATAATTTAAACATTTGGTTTAAATTATGTATTCTTAAATGTACCCACATACCCTAAAATGCAAATGGCACATTCATTAGAATAGGAAAGTATGTCTTTTGCATCACATTGCTTGCTAAACTGTCACCAGTAGTACAATGTATTTCTCATATTTTTTATTGTAACAGCTCATCCAGGTCTGTCAGGTAGAGATTTTTTGCTGTCTTAAATAATTATTTTCCTATTTGTGTGATACTGCCTTCTCAGGATACTCATGACCTGATCAAATTTTTATATGGCCATAGTGTCTGGAAACCACCATAGCCTATCTTTGTGTAGTATGAGTGAAGTGAATCCTTGCTGCAGCTCCCCTGAAATTCTTAAGGACAAAGAGATGCTAGAGCAGCTTCCCATTATTGGACTAAGATAAAAAATAAACCCAGATAATGCTTTTTTCTTCCTGTTACTCAGCTGTACCTCTTGCCTTAAATTTTCTGGCTTGTTTAATTCTCACTTCCAGTAATATAAAACATTTTTAATTATCAATTTTCAGATTTGTAAACTTTTAACTTGTTTACAGTTTGTTACTCTACACATATGTTGGTTTTCTGTTAAAAATAAAACCAAGAAGCAGCTTCTTAAATAACAAGTTTTCAAAAAATGACCTTTATGCCATCCGTTTCCATTCAAACTGGTATAAGTGAAGATCCCCCGAAGTCCATTGAATTCTTGTGACTATAAGGACATATCCATGTAGTTTACTCACAACAGTTTAGGAGTGGTTTGCCATTGCCATATTTTGGGGTGTTTGTTTTTCAAATTACGAAAGTTAGTAACTTCTCCCATCCAGTTATTAACCAAGTCCAGTCTGGTTTAGCTTTTTCAGGATCAGGCACCAGGATCTTAAGAGCCTGGATTAAACTAGAGAAAAATATTCCACTTTGGACATTGTAGTACAAAACAATAGAGTCTGAATTATTTTTCTAAATAATCACTGTTCTGACTAGTAAATGTCTAAACTTTTATAATTTGCTTGTTTTAGTTGATTCAGAAATTCCTTTAGAGCCTCCAAGTGCAACTACTACAACTACTATTGGAATATCTGCAACTTCAGCTACTTTTACAAATGCTTTTGGCAAGAAGAGGGCCAATGTGATAACAACTCCCAGCACAAATAGAAAAAATAAGAAGAATAAAACTAAGGACACTCCTCAAAATGTCCAGATAATTTTGCCAGATCAGCATATAACTCTAGCACAGCAAAAAGCAGATAAAAACAAGATCAATGGTGAGCCAAGAGGTGGTAGTGCTGGTGGGAATAGTGATTCTGACAACTTAGACAGCACGGATTGCAATAGTGAAAGTAGCAGTGGTGGCAAAAGCCAAGAACTGAACTTCACTATGGACACACACTCTTCAGGTGATAGGCGATATGCCTCAGTACTGCTCCCTTCTCAGGAAGATAAGACTAACTCCTCAGTTTCCAAAGTGCAAACCAGGTACGTTATGTATCTTATTTTCTTGTCACTTCATTAATGACTTTCTCCTGCTAGCTTCAACCCATACCATACCACTTCCCCCCTCCCCTCTCTGATAACTAATTGAAGTTTTGAGTGCTAGAAGTGAAACCGTTTAAACATTATAGGTCCCAAAATGTTGATTGTGGGATTTAACTTTGCCAGTTCTCTCTGATTATAAACAAAGCAAAAGTGATGGTTGACTAACAAAGACAAGATGTGGAAAGGATATCCATTTTGACTTGAAGAAGAGAGAGAGAGAGAGATGATGATGATGATGATTATTATTATTATTATTAATCCTGTGGGACTTCCAGATCCAGACAGACAGGCAGGTACTGGCCAATCAACCAGACATCGTGGTAGTAGACAAAGACCA